TGTTATTTTGTTCCCAATTGAAGAAATAATTAATACAATAAATAGATCATCCTTCTATCTCTTTCTCCCCACATTTCCCCTGTGCGTCTCAGTTGATACTGTCAATTAAAGGTAAAATGTACATTAAAAAAATAAATTAGTCTATATATTTGAAAATGAGTTTTCCGCCGCTCCATGCAGAATTGTTTTGTTTTGCTGTAAATTAAACTGAAAGTGATCCTTTTAATGATGGTATCACAATAAAGATTTGTTTTTCACAGTTGTCATGCCTCCATATCATGTTGAAAGTCAAATTCTTCTCAGATGGGGATATTGCAGAGTAAATGTTGTTATAGTGATCTGTGGCAGGTGAATGTTAAAGAAACTCTACTCTAAAGGGAAAAAGTCTTTACCAAACTGTATATTCTAGCAAGATGAGAGAAGTAATCTCAAAATCTAATTTTCTTTCAGCACTGGTTCACAGAACTCCCTCCTGTGTTGACCTTTGAACTGTCAAGATTTGAATTTAACCAAGCACTGGGACGGCCTGAGAAGATCCACAACAAGCTTGAGTTCCCCTCTATGCTCTACATGGACAGGTACCAGAAATATTAGCCCAGGACTTTATTGTAGAATCTACAACTTTCGTCTCTGCAGTAAATAACTATTAATCACACGTATCTTTAAGGCTGAAGCTTCTTCTGTGGTGTTGTTAGGTACATGGACAGGAACAGGGAAATAACCAGGATCAAGAGGGAGGAGATCAGGAGGCTGAAAGAGCACCTGACACTGCTTCAACAGCGACTGGAGAGGTGCTACATGTCCACCAATACCTGTTTATTTAGCCAAGGTCAACAAGGCTCTCTAGACAGCCATGGAGAGTTTTATCTCACTCTGACTGTGCCCTCTCTTCGTCTGTCATTATGCCCTCTATTCTTATTTGTCCCTCTCTCGGCCTCCCTCGGCTTCCCTGCTTCTCTTTGACACTTTCTCTGTTCCCTCTCAGGTATCTGAGTTATGGCTCCGGCCCCAAGAGGTTTCCTCTGGCAGATGTCCTCCAGTATGCCATGGAGTTCGCCTCCAGTAAGCCAGTGTGCACCTCCCCAGTGGAAGACATTGACGCATCAGCGCCCCCCGGTGGCACAACAGGACAACAGCTGCCCCCACCAAGGCGAGTTTCATAACAGAGAGCCTGCTGTGTATTGTCAGTTGCTTTCCGTCATTTGTTCTGTTAGTTTCAGGATCAGGTAGCAGGTGAAGATGAAGGAGATGAAGGGAGAGTGAGAACAGGAATACCATGGGAAACATTTTCATTTTCTTATCCTAATCTTCTCTTACTCATACTATAAACGTTTTCCTAGTCAGGTTCAGGAAAAAGGTTGCAAGCTTTTTTTTATTTTATTTTTTTTTGTTTAATATACTGTGTCTCTCACCCTGCAGCACAGCCGAGCAGGACTCCTCGCCTCCCCTAGAGAGCTCAGGTCCTGCCCCCGGTCCCACCACAGCTTCCAATGTAGCTCAGCAGCAGAGAGTACCCATTCACAAGCCCTTCACCCAGTCCCGGCTACCTCCTGACCTCCCCATGCACCCTGCCCCGCGCCACATCACTGAAGAAGAGTTGAGGGTGCTTGAGGGCTGCTTGCATCGCTGGAGGAGTGAAGTGGAAAACGACACCCGTGGTAGGTCTACCTGTCCCCCCATTTGCAGCCCTTTATGATTCATTCGGCATGATTTACCTGTCAAAGTTAACATTAGACTGGCACTTACTAATAGATTGTACATGATGTTCTCCCCACCAGATCTGCAGGGAAGTATAACCAGAATCCACAGAACCATTGAGCTAATGTACGCTGACAAATCGATGATGCAGGTGAGCAGCACTTTTCTGTAATAGGTCATGTTTGCAGTACAAAAAGCCACATCAGCAGCTCCATTTGTTAATCCGTATTTTCAATCTCCTTTGTGTTGATCCAGGTTCCGTACCGGCTTCATGCGGTGCTGGTCCATGAAGGCCAGGCTAATGCAGGCCACTACTGGGCTTACATCTATGACCCACATCAGCGTTGCTGGATGAAGTACAACGACATCTCTGTCACCAAGTCGTCCTGGGAGGAGCTAGTCAGGGACTCGTTCGGAGGCTACCGCAACGCCAGTGCCTACTGTCTCATGTATATCAATGACAAGAAGCCCTTCCTCATAGAAGGTACACATGGACTAAAATTTGGTCAGTAGTACGGTTCATATGTATCTCTAATGCACAATCGTAAGAACTGTGTAAGAGGTCAGTTTTAGTCTCTGTTCATTAATTCAGCCATTTCTCTGTGCGCTCGGTTACATTTACAGGCCAAAAGATAACACAGCAGATGTTATCTTTAATTTATTTGTTATGATTCAGTGACGGGAGACATGCTTACTTTCCTGGTTAACCTTTTAATCTCTGATTTCTACTGCTAATTCCGTCACTTCTGTTTCACTCCCTCACTGGTTATCACATACTCTCATACCTTCAAATTTATAATACATACATACATATTCAAATATGAACTGATAATACCCTCTGAACAGATACGAGCAACATCTATATAATTCATATTAAATTTGTCGGATACAAATCCAATGATTATTTTTTAAATGTAGGTAGTTATTTTGCCCATGTCCGCTGTAAATCCGAATATAGATATGTTTGGGACATTAACAGATACAGATAGTAGCTTTGCGTTACATCCCTAGGAACCAACCTTCTTGTTAAAATAACAGAATAAAATAGAAATAGTAATTCTTTTTTTTGTAGGAGTTTATTCAAAACATCCATTTAATAAGCTGTAGATTATGTTCATTGTCTTTCTATTGTCTGTGCAGAGGAGTTTGATAAAGAAACGGGACAGATACTCAGCGGCATGGACAAACTGCCTCCAGACCTGAAGCATTTTGTGAAGGAGGACAACGAGCTGTTCGACAAGGAGATTGAGGAGTGGGATGCCCTGCAGGCCCGCAAGGCCCAGCAGGAGAAGCTGGCCCTGGCCACGGCAGCCGCAGCTGCCTCGGCAGCATCCAGCACCTCCACTTCTTCCTCTTCTCCTCAGCCCATGAGTATTGAGTCCAGCCCTCCGGACAACGCAGGTCAGGGTCATGGCGCTCAGAGTACAGAGTAGAATACTTAATTGAGAATCAATAGTTGGTTGAAAGATAAATACAGAAAAACTCTTGTTCCCTGGAGAGTTTTAAAAGGATGAGGAAATGACCTTGAAATATTAGTGTGCAGCCTTACAGCTCTAATTCCCTATGATATGCTATTGTATATACTATCATACAGTATATGACAGGAAAGGTCTTGACTGAAACATGCTGGCTGTATGAAAGTGAGCTAAGATGTTCATCATTCAGCCCACAGTGCTTTTTTTGTGTTGAATTGTGGTGGTTGCATAGCATGATGGCTGGCTAAATTTGGCAGTGCAAAGTATTTGTTATTGGGTTGTTGGTCAAACAAACATGCAACGGAACACATAGTAATTTAATGTGGACACACTGTTATTACCTAAGCTGCATTTTAATCGAGGCACCTGTCCAAAATAAGAGCTTTCTATAAGTAATGCTGGATATTGGTAAATGCTATGGATGGTTTCTGCAATCATGCTCACACTAATGCAGATACATTTGCACCGAGTGTACTGCTGCTTTGGCATTTGTGTGGATGACAAACGTGTAGAAAATCCTTAGAAAATAATGTGGAAAGAAAACATTTAAAAACCTAAAGAACCATGCAATTTTGGTTTTCTCTGATGGTGCCGTTGTCCTTCTGCAGTGCCCCAGCAGGACCCTGAGTACATGGAGCAGCCATCCCCCACAAATGACTCCAAGCACCTGCAGGAGGACACCGAGCGGGCCATCTCCAGGGCCGCTGCTGAACAGGAGGAGAGAAGCCCCGAAGCATTGTTAAATGCTGTATGTAAAACATGCAAAGTCACAGTTCGCCACACTCACACCAAGTCATTGTCACCCGTCATGTGCCTCCTTTCTTTTTTACATGTTGGTTTGGCAATATCAACCAACAAAGTGTCATGTTATATACCTGCTTTTTTATTTTATTTCATCCACAGTCATCTTTTTCCCTTGACTCAACTCAGAGAACACCATGAGGAATAATTGTTTGCTCATTATATTAAATTTGCCATCTTTTTTGG